CTGCAGGTGCCATGTAAAGAGTTTGTCCCGAGGTTGGCATGCTAGGAGGAAACTGCACTAGCACGTAATGAAAGACTATACATGGAGAGTCCTTAGAGTATATGAAAAGAGATAGAAACCAGAGAGTGAAACACACATGCACTGAGGGAGAGTGAGAGAGTGAGATGGGGCAGGGTATGTGGTGACTGGACAACTCCAGCTAGTCTAGCCAGTTACCCCTTTTTTCAATCCCAGATATTATTTATTTATTTATTTAGAAAGTATCTGGCTAGTTCCCAAGCTGGCCTGAATTCCTGGACTCAGTTCCTGAGTAGCTGGGCATTATAGGTAGGTGTGTGCCAACAACTCTTTAACAGCAACTACATGAGAAAACCTGGGCCAGAACTAAGTAGACAGAGGCACTCAAGTCGAAAGTGACAAAACTGGAGTCTAGGAAGTCTGATTCTAGAGTCTGTATTTTAAACTATTACTTTTAATGTGTCTTTGACACATATATCAATTATTACTTGTTTAAACAAGTGTTTTCCCTTTCAATGTTGACAGAATATTTCTAGGAATATCTCCATTGGGGGACAAAGGTTTAAACATGTAAATAAAGCATTATTGATACTATCCTGTGGTTTTACCTGAAAAAAAAAAATACTCCTGTCTTTCAGAGATATTTTTAATTAGTTAGATTCAAAGCATGCCAATAATCATGAAAAATACAATTTAAAAACATTATAAATATTTAGAAATTAGTTTCCATGTTGCTGATGGCTGAAGTGCACACTGATTTCTTTCACAGTTCAGATTTTGTAATTATCTACTTCTTTACTTGTGTATTGGATGTTTCTTTCCATAGACCTATGACTGTGGTTTACCATATGGTAAGTGTTCAATAAGCTTTTGAATAAATTAAGTGATAAATAACTATGTGAGAGAATGGCAGATGGCTTCATAAGATGAACTACATCTTGTATTTTACACTTTTTTTTTTTTCTGGTGCTAGGATAGAACTTAGGGTTTGGTTGCTAGACAAGAGTTCTATCACTGAGCTATAGCTCTAGACTTGTGGAACTATATCTCTCTTTTTTTTTTTTTTCAATTTTCCACAAAATTTTCACTGACCTGAGGAACTAGGTCTTGAAGGAAAAGAATAACATCTTCTGAGTGCTTACTATCTGATAGGCACTATTCTAAGTGCTTTGCGTATATTGAGTCATGTAAGATATAGTTATAGATTATTTATTGTCTCAATAGGATAGAATTTCTAGATGTCAAGGAACATCTATTATTCCTGTTATTTTAGGGCCTAGATCAGGGTTTGGCATATCATAGGTAATCAGTAAATATTAACTGAATAAATACACAAATATCACCTGATTTGACTCCCCTAGCAACTTTAAAATGCAGGTACTATTATTATCCCCATTTTTCAAACAGGAAGCTGAGGCCCAAAGAGAGTAAGATTCCCAAAGTCACAGAGCTAGTCAGCCTGATTCCAGACTTCACACTTGTTATGAATTCAACTATCCTCCAGAAGGTTGTGTTGAAGTCCTAATTCCTGCTACCTGTAGATTTGACACAAATATAATACTCTTACAGTGTTTACCAAGAGTGAAAAAGAAGTAATTCCAAAAAAGGAACTGAAAAATACTCAAATAATGGCAGCAGTGTTAGAAATTTGTGCAAAATTCTTCAATCAATTTGGCCTATTTTAAAGTATAATACTTATTTGGACATCTGCTCCAGAAGTTTTGTTTAACATGTAGTCTTACTTATTTATAGTTTTATTATATGTATCATGTTGTCAAATGGGACTTTGTGAAAAAAATTTTTTTTTTTTTGTAGTGGAGATTGAACCAGGGGTACTTTACAACTGAGCTACATCTCCCAGCACATTTTATTTTGAGACGGATCTCACTAAGTTGCTTGCCCTTTCCCATCCTTCCACCCTGCCTCTCAATCTCCTTATTCTACATTACTGATCTTCCCTTTATCTTTATGATATCCTATTCTTCCCTCCCCCTTTCCTTTATTTTACTGTAGCTTCTGCATATGAGAGAAAACATTTGACCTCTGAGTTTCTGAGTTTGGCTTATTTCACTTAGCATGATATTTTCAATTTCCATCCATTTACCAGCAAATATCATGATTTCATTCTTATTTATGGCTTAGTACTCCATTGTATATATATATATACTACAATTTTTAATTGATTTATCTATTGTTGAGCACCTGAGTTAATACCATAATTTAGCTATTGTGAATTGTGCTGCTATAAACATTGAGGTGGCTATATTGCTGTAGTTTGCCAATGAAAAATCTGTTTTTTGATAAATTCTCAACTGTGCAACAAAAACCAATAGGTTCTAGTTCTGTATTTTGTGAAGTATACCCATTCTTTTTTCCCACAGTGCTAGGTATTAAATTTAGGGCAACAGGCATGATCACTAAGCACTTTACCATGGAGATACATCTCCAGCATGGATACCCACTTATCTATCTATCTGTTTATTTTTGTGGTACTAAGAATTGAAACTAGGGCCTCCATCATGGTAGGCAACTGTTCTGCCACTAAGCTATACTCCAGCCCTTTTAAAATTTCATTTTCAGACAGGGTCTCACTAAATTGCCCAAGTTGGGCCTGGCCTTGAACTTGCAGTCCTCCTACCTCAGCCTCCTTAGTAGCTGAGATTACAAGTGTTTGTCATCTTCAGGTTCCAGTTATTTTTATTTTTATTTTTTGATACTGGAGATTGAATCCAGAGGCACTCTACCACTGAACTACATACTCAACCCTTTCTACTATTTTGATACAGAGTTTTGCTAAGTTGCTTAGGGCCTTGCTAGATTGTTAAAGCTGACCTTGGACTTGCAATCCTCCTGCCTTAGCCTCCCCAGTTGCTACGATTACAGGCATTTGCCAACATGACCAGCTCTAGCACTTATTCTTAATATTACCAGTTATTTGCAAAATAACTGCACAATCAGTTTCTTACAAGGCAAATGAAAGAAAAAGAGTATTTTTCTGTGTACAACTTGTTTCCTATGTATTTTTGGCGACAAAACCTAATCTCACAAAAGATTGAAAAATTTGGTATTCTAGTTAATATTTATGTGAGAAAACAGATTCTTCCCAGTATTTGAAACACATATGCATGTACAAAATGGCTCCTTTAGCTTATCACTCAAGATGACTGGAGATTTGTTAAGAAGAAAAGTAAACATACAAGTGAAAAATGTGAACTTTATCTGTACTAGCAGGTTTTTGTAATCTCTTTGTAATACTGGCCTGGAGAAACGGACCATATATTCTTCATGGATTACCACATAAATCAGCTGTAGATATTAAAACCCAGAAACAGAAGACAGGTGATATATCTAAATTTATTTAATAAGAGCTTCATTATAATAAGGTTCTGTTGTACTAACATTTTTGTTTCTCCTTAAACATCTTGAGTCTGGCTTCCAGGCCTACTGTTAATCTGTTTTCATCTCACACAAAGCACTTTTAATTGCAGTGTGCCTCAGTTAATTATGAGAGTGAGTTTTGTAAAGCATACCTTCTTGTCAGATGATGCAGGGTTAATTATTTATGGATTATAGAATTCACAATGAAAGGTGTCATTTAAATGGAAGGAATGTTTTTAAAGAACTTTGTGATGCCCATAAAATGTTCTCTATGAAAACAACTGATTCTAGAAGGTTCAAAAACTAAGCCAAGAAAGCTTTTTAATGTAAGTATAGCCAAAACCCAATTATTGTACAAATTTTTCTTATAAGGTAAAGAAACATAATTGAGAACAAACAAGGACACTGGGTTTGGAAGTGTGTCTAGTTTATGGAAATACAAAACCAACAAATAATCCCAGGAAACTATCTTTTGTAATATCAGTAGGTAGAGATGAAAGGTGCAGAAGCTAATCATCCTATCCACTGAAAAGAAAATCAGGGCATCAGAAAGCTTTAGTGTTTGCTGTTATTATACAGTGTTGTTGTTGGTGATGGTCAGACAAACTCTCCTTTTATGTTGACTTGGACCTGACTACTCTTCCAGTCTTTGAACCTTCAAGTATAAATATCAATAATACAGTAACAAGATTTTAGCGCTGGAAGATCATATATCCTGATGTCCTTGTTTTATCAAAGACACTGAAGCACTGAAAGATGGAGTTCCCCATGGTTATTCAGAGAGCAGTGGTTCTTGAACATCCTGGCTTCTAGAACTCGCAGGGAAATTATGCACAAGACAAATGACTATTCATTGGACCTTTGCACCCTAACACTTTTCCTGTCTTTTAAAAGCAAATAAAATTCCGATTGGATACTTTACAGAAACTGACACGGTGTCGGCTCATGCTCTCCTGTTCTCCCTTTCTCCCAGTTCCACGCAGGCTAGGCTTTCTAGGTCAAGGTTGATTCCCTCCTGCCTCAGGCCCCTGGGCATGGCTGGTATCCAGGATGGTCCTGCAGAGCGAGCTTCCCAAAGACTAGAGAGGAACACAAAGGCAGACTCTTCGGGTCAGGTCTTGGTTAGTAGCCCTGTGCCCCTCCCATCTTCCAATGTGGATGGGGCTTGGCGGGCTGCCCCACCGGGGTCGCAGGGGAGCCCTGGGGGGAGGGGAGGGTCAGCACTGGGGACGTCCCACAGACGCGGGCCACAAGGTGGCTGGGAGCCCCTGGTGAGAGTCCTTGAGGTTTGCCCGGCCCGCGGCCACCTGCCCCCAAGTCCTTGCGGCACCGCCAGCGCTCAGCTCTTCCTCCTTCTCCTCCTCCTCGCACGTCCGCTGGGCTGATCTCCTGCCATGACTCAGCGCTTCTCGCAGGCCGCCCGGCCGGGCTCACGGCTTCGCGCGGGCTCCTCCCGCCGCGTCCACCCCCTCTCGCCACCCACGCCCGCCCCCGGCCGCGAGGCCTTTCCCCGCGCGGCCGCCACCGTAGCCACCGCATTCCGCGCCGGCGCCTCAGCAGCACTCGCCGCCTGCACCGCGCTCCGGCCGGACCTCACTGCCCAGCCCCGCGCCAGCCATGGAGCCCACGGCCCCCCGCCGCCGCCACACCCACCAGCGCGGCTACCTGCTGACGCGGAACCCCCACCTCAACAAGGTAAGCCTGCAGCGCCCGGTCGCTTGGGTGGTCCCGCAGCAGGGCCTCGCCCTCCGCAGGCTCCTCGGGAAGACGCCGGTGGACGGCGGGGCGGTGGGCCTGGGTGCCGGCTCCGCGGACGGGAACGCCCCGCCAGGTCGGAGCCGCAGGGTGTGGTGGCTGGGCGGTCCTCCGCATCCCGTCCCGGGAAACGGGGAAAAGGTGTAACTTGCAACTTTCTGGCTGTTCTTAAGCAGTATCCCAATCTAGGAAGGTGCGAGTTGGGTGTTACCAAGAAGGTGGCAGGCGGACTGCCAGGTCAGCCACGGTGTGCCCCCCACCTCTACGGGTTCCACTCAGTGTGGCAATCCTTGGAGGCTACTGCGGATCCAGGCTGGTACGGCCTGGGTCGAAATGGGATCTGAGTGCCTTGGATCACATTAAGCATCTAATTTCCAAGGCCTCTCCGTTTCCGGAGTGACATGGTTCTGAGTCTGGGAATGCCTGATGGGTGGCTTCTGCTTTGGAACCTTGGCATGGCATGGCTTGATAGAAAAGCCCTTCCTAGCAGGGGGCTTGGGTGAAGCCATTCCTTTTTAAAAATTTCTTTCTTTTAAAATTTCTTCTTCTTCATTTTATTTTATTTTTTTTTCCAAATCAAGCCTTTTGGGAGTTATTTATTTATTTATTTTTAATAAGACTTTGTCATGCTCTATTCAGAATCTTCAAATCCTGTTAACATTTCCTTTTTCTTCACTGGTAATGTAGTATAAACACCTAAGATAACTCTTAAATGAAAGTAACTCAGAATTGATCATTTCCATACTCAGCAGTCACATTGTTATTTGATAGCCAGGTTTGTCTGGATTTTTCCTTTTGTATTCCTATGTGTGTAGTTCTGACGTTTCCTATTTATTCAGTACATTGAAAATGCCACGGGTCAGCACCGGAGGTCTGCGTAGTTATTTTGGTTGTCCCTTTGTAGAATACCCTTCTTCCTTAATCATTGGACCTCAGCTTTAACACCCAGTCGTGATGCTGGCAATTTGTTGATCACTACTATGGCTTGAAGGCTTGTGATTTATTTAGTAAATTATAGTGAGTTTTTAAATTTTGTGGTGACAGGCAAGTTTTTCAAATCTATGATTGTTTAGTATTTATGGTCATATAGTATGACTTTAAAAATGATTTCTGCTTATTTTTTTCCTCAAAACAAATTTTCCAGTTTGATTCTTTGTCCTTTTTTTATTATTCTGCAGGTTGGGACCTATTTTCAGTAGAACAAAGGTAAAATTTGATGTGACAAAACAATTTGTGACTTTCATGTGTTACCTACCTTCATGTTGAAATTTATGACCAAATTATGGGTTGACACTTAACAAGACCACATTAAGTAACATAATCTGTTTTATTTTTTTTTATTTTTTTGAAGTCCTGGATGAGAGTGTCTGTTAAGACTAGGTAGGTGAAATAAGCAATCCCAAGCAAGAGTAATTACGCCTTTACTATGTTTTTGTTAGGAATTTATGCTATTAAAACCATTTTGACTCCTGTTTTCCTGTAATAGTACTTTCTTCAGAATTGTATTATCACAAAGAACTCCCACAAAAGGTAAAAAGGTGCAGCATTAATATATTAAGAACATATTTTGGGGGAGGGAAAGGGGAAATACTGGGGAATGACATTGCTAAATTATATTGTTTTTTTTTTAAAGAGAGAGAGAGAGAATTTTAATATTTATTTTTTAGTTTTCGGCAGACACAACATCTTTGTTTGTATGTGGTGCTGAGGATCGAACCCGGGCCGCACGCAAGCCAGGCGAGCGCGCTACCGCTTGAGCCACGTCCCCAGCCCTAAATTATATTGTTATATTGTGTGCATATATGAATATGTAACGACAAATCCCACCATTATGTACAACAATAATGCATGAATAAAAAATGGGAAAAAATAAAAATCTGAAGAGAGGAAGTCATAGTGTACAAAAACAATAAAATCAGTAAATCAAGTTTTCCAAAAGATTATATGTGTTATAACAGTCATATAAATGTCAGAAATAAACATTGTTTTGAGGATTACTAGTAAAATGCTTTCATCAGTATCTGGCAGACAGTTGGCTCTTATCATTGCAAAGAAATATATTAATAATCTAAAAAAAAGGACACATTTTTAAAATTTATAGTGGAAGTTTTGCTATCTGTGTTATGTCAAGTTGGACTCAAAATCTAGTTCACTAGCTTTGGGGGAATTAATATAACAACATTTATACCTTTCATTCAGTCCCAGAACATTGATGTGGTGCCTCATGGAAGTAATGGTATTTCCTTACATGTACCATTGAAACCAGAGAAATGGCACCTTCTTGATTTTCCATACACTCAAGACACCTTCAAGTTTGCTAGTAGTCCAGAAACTATTTTTTTTCCTTTTTTTGGTGCTGACTTTTTTTCAAAGAGACACTATCCCTGAGCTATTGTAACTTTCCTCTAACAGTCCAGCCTGGTACTTGGATATGGAAAGGCTTCTTCAACCAAACCAACACAGATCTTCATCACTGTACATTGGTAACAGTGATTTTTCTGGTTTTATTTCCATTATCATGATCTGCCCATACAGGTATGGAAGAATTATGAACATTAGTTAGCATTTTTTTTTACATTTTCTTTCTGTTATCCAAGTATTCCTAATATGTTATTATGTCCTATTATGTTGAATGTAAAGTCAGTCTATCAATTAGTTTTACTGTCTTTTCCAAATTTATCTCCTTAATTTCCCAACATAGCCTTCTATTTAAAATATATTTGCTGATTCTCTCAATTTTTTCCTAAAATTAAAATGTCATTAGTTAATTGATAATGATTTCTTTTAAGAAACCTTTCCTAATCATTTTAGTCCTATTGTCATGTAACACTTTTGTACTAAATAATTTTGTATTTACTGAATTCTCATTTTTTTCTTGTTCATTTATTTTGATTGTCACAGAGCAGGGATTATAATATTTAGTAGAATATTTTGTTCAGTGGACATTAAATAAATACTTAAGAGATGAATGAGCCATGTTTTTGTTTCTTTTTGTCTTTAAACAGTACTTAGCTTTTAAAGCAGGTGGCTTTTGAAGCGATAGTTTGCATATTATCCTAAGATAAATATCCTTGTTAATATAATTTTTTTTAATCCAGTCTGCTAGTCTGTGTCTTTTGATTGGTGAGTTTAGGCCATTAACATTCAGGGTTATTATGGAGACATGATTTGTATTCACAGCCATTTTTGTTTATTTTTGGAACTTATTTGACTTGGTTTCTCCTCTGAGTAGTTTTTCCTTTTAGTGTAATACCTCCCTCTGCTGATTTTCATCATTGTTTTTCATTTCCACTTCATGGAATATTTTACCGTGGATGTTCTGTAGTGCAGGTTTTCGAGTTGTAAATTCTTTTGTTTATCATGGAAGGTTTTTATTTCATCATCAAATCTAAAGCTTAATTTTGCTGGATATCAGATTCTTGATTAGCATCCATGTTCTTTCAGAGCTCGCTATATGTTGTTCCATGATCTCCTGGCTTTGAATGTCTGGGTTGAAAAACCTGCTGAGATTCGAATTGTTCTATCCCTATATGTGATCTGATTCCTCTCTCTTGTGGCTTTTAAGATTCAATCCTTATTCTGTATGCTAGGCATTTTCATTATAAAGTGTCTTGGTGTAGATCTGTTGTAATTTTGTACATTTGGTATCCTGTACGTCTCTTGTATTTGGTTTTCCAGTTCATTCTTCATGCTTGGGAAATTTTCTGATATTATCTCATTGAAGAGATTGTGCATTCTTTTGGTTTGAAACTCTGCCTTCCTCTATCCCAATAACTCTTAGATTTGGTCTTTTGATGCTGTCCCATAATTCTTAGATGTCCTGTTCATGGTTTCTTACTATATTCACTGTGTGGTCAACTTTATTTTCCAGATTGTATACTTTGTCTTCATTATCTGACGTTCTTTCTTCCAAGTGATCTAGTCTGTTGGTTACGCTTTCTATTGTGTTTTTCATTTGGTTTATTGTTTTCTTCATGTCAGTGATTTCTGACTGGTTTTTTTTTTAAGAGTCTCTGTCTCTTTCTTGAAGTTATTTTTGGCTATCTGTATTTACTCTCTTATCTATTTGTTGGAGTAATCAATTTTTTGCCTGTATTTGCTCATTCTTTAATTCACAGATCATTTTAATTATGAACCTTCTGAACTCCTTCTCTGACATTTCATCAACTTTGCTGTCCATGGGTTCTATTATTGTAATATCCTGGTTTGTTTGGGACACTTTCCTCCCTTGTTTTTTCATGTTGTCTATGTGTTTTCCTTTCTTACAGTGTGGATCTGAGATATTACAGTTCCTACCCTATTTTTTTGTAGTACCTGTGCAGATTATCTGTATCTCACCTTGATGTTGGGCTTCTGGACCCTGCTGGTGTCCCTCAATGTATGCTACTGCAACTAATGGTGGTGGCAGCAATAGCCGAGGTAACTCAAGATAATAGTAGAGGTGTCCCAATATAGACGGAATATCTTACAGAGGTGGGGTTGAAAGGGTGAGCCTTACGCTGTCTTTAGGATGCCTGCTCTGAGATGCAGCTGCTTCTAGGCCCTGCCTATTGTCAGAAACGTATGGGGCTACTATGTGGGGAAGGCTATGGCAATGTCTGCAGTATCCCAAGATGGAAGTGGGTTAGGCTTAGGCTCCCGGGTGCCAGGAGGGGTGGGGGGACTGGCGAACTCAAACCTACCCTGGGTCTGAGTCCTGTGTATATTGGTGTGGGTGGATCTGGGCTGAGCCTTAGCTCCCATCGTGGTCTTCTGGTTGGAAGAGGTGGTCCTGTGCTGGAGCCTGAGCTCTGTAGGTGTCTGCCAGTGGTGGGATAGACTTGGGTCTGGGTCCCCAATCATAGTGTTTTATCAATGTTAATTTTGGTCAGCATTAACATATAAAAAATGACTTCTCGGAAGTGCTTGGGTAGCCATTTACTTCTTGGCATGTCAAGACC